GCGCCGCCCCGGCCGGAGGGGGGACGCTCGGCGGGGCCTAGCGGGGTGGGGCCCGGCGTGCTGGGGCGGAGCTCCGCCTCCTCGCGGTCAGGTGATTCCAGGGCAGCCATCTTGAGTAGACGTTAAGCCAACTGCTTTTCTTGGCCTCCTCCCCCAGTTCCATCGCCCCTTCGCCCATCACCCTCAGGGCGGCTTGCCTTTCCTCAAGTATAGGCTGATTGCCACTTCCAACAAATGATGCTTCAGTTATTTCATCTGTAAAAAGCAGGTAAGGGTAAATCAGATGGTGATTCCTAACTGGTCCACCTTCCAACATTTCTTTTGTTGTTGTTTATTAAGCAAACGGCATTAATTAATAAAGAATATGTCACTCACTGAGCATCTATTAAGTGGAGGCATTACTAGATAAAACAGGCAGGATCGCCCTATCTGCAAGAGACTTACAAAGTCCAAATCCCTTAATCTAGCATTCCATGCTCTCTGTGAGCTAATAAACTCTTCCTAGACCCACCTTCTATTCTGTCCTCCAGGTAGCTTGGTAACTTACAATTTGTGGGAAGAGGGCCAGCATTTTTTTTTTTTTTTTGCCTGGAAGTGCCTTTCTTCTGCTGGTTCCCCACTGCTCTGGCTAGGGGAAGATCTGGACTTAAGCTTCCAGATGGGAAGCAAGCAAGCTGCTTCAACAGCAATGGGAATGTTATCAACTAGGATTAGATTCAGCTGCAAACAACAAAAGAAAAAAAAATGGCTTACAATAGAAATTTATTTACCTTTCATGCACATTAAGATGAAAAGTAGGCAGTTCAAGCCTTCTCCATCATCCTCAGCAGCTGGTTTCTAATCTGAAGGTCATTTTATTATGGTCCACATTCCAGACAGTGGGGAGGGAAAAGGGAAGAAAAATACACTCTTTTTCTTTTAAGAAGACTGCCTTGAAAGTCCTGCGCATTTCTGTTTACATCTCATTAGCCAAAAGATAGTCACATAGCCATACTGGGACATGTAATTTTTTAACTGGGCACAACTTGCCCCTGAAAATAGGTGCTCTGATTAATAAGGGATGCTGGAATGAGTGCTGAAAGGTAACCAGCTGTCTTTTTCATGAATGGTATTTCAAACCATAAGATAGGTCCCCAGGAATAAACCCTGAGAAACTTCAAACTTTTGAGGTAAAACAGTGGAAAAGGGGCCAGCAAAAGAAACTGAGAAGCAGGGGCTGTGAGACAGGAGAAAACTCAAGGCTGGCACTAGATGAAATGATTCTAGGGAGGCGTGGTCAATTGTGACAGATGCTGCTGAGAAATCAAAGATAAGAACCGAGAAATGACCACTGGATTTGGCAATACCAAAGAGTCCCATAAGGAGGAGAAATGTTTCTCCTCAAAGAGGAAGGAGGTTTGATGCTAGATGGCTAAAACAACAATTTCTGTATATTGGTCAGAGTTCTATATATTGGTCAGAGGCCAGACTCTGCTGTGGTAACAACCCAAAGATCTCAATGACTTAACACAACAATGGTATATTTCTCCCCCTCATCCAAAGCCTGCTTTGGGTCAAGGCAGTCCCCAAGGTAGCTCTCCTCCACTCCACTGGGTCATTCAGAGACCCAGGCTACTTTCATCTTGGGCTCCACCATCTCAACCCAAGGTTTTCAGGATTGCCTCAATATGAGAAAGAGAGCTGGAGGGTTGTGCACCAGCAATTAAATACTTTAGCCTGGAAATGACAGATGTTACTTCCACTTACAGACTATTAGCTGGAACTTGTCACGCAGACCCAATTTAACTGCAAAAGAAGTTGGGAAATGTAGGCGGGGAGTCATGGACTATTTAGTAAGTGATATCATCTCAGCCACAGTTCCCTGTAATCATTGTTGACTCTGTTCTCAGTGCCCAGTGTCCTGAGTAGTTGCACAGACCCCTTCGAGCAGGTGTGTGCCTATGGTAAAGATTAAAGATGGGGGTGAGATCTGCCTTATTCCTTGGGTCAGATTGTGCTGAAGGAGATGGGGACCCCCAATCCCAGGCAGACCCAGCTGGCTTTGAGATGCTTCTTTCTGTGCAGCTGACAGAAACAGCTATCAGAATCTTAGCTTACTGAATAGCTCAACGTACCAAATGTTTGCTAGTCTTGGCTCTGGTTCCCAAACAAACTCTGCCTCAGCTCCAAGCTGCCACCATCAGTGCTTTGACAGAAAACTGACCTGTCATAAATGCCATTGGACTTTGCTATGGCTCCATTTCTATTGGGTTTTCTGGTCTCCTGAATCCAGCATCCTTGAATCAAAGGACAAAAGCCATTCCTCCCACTTTTTCTCTGAGTCTCCACTTTATACGAGATGCACAGTGACTCAAGGAGATGCCATGAGAGAGAAGGATTCTTAGTCATCTTTTCACTCATTCAGTAAACACTTATTATATTTACTTTGTGGAAGGCTCTTGGCCAGGCACTAGGGGCATGGAGATGAAGAACAGTCTAATGGGGGTTGCAGACAAAAAGCAGGTCATTGGGATACTGGGTGATGAGGATGTGTTCAAAAAGCTGTGACAGGCCAGAGGAGGGCATGGTAAGCCTTGCTCAGGGTGGTGAGGGATGACTCTTTCCTGAGAAAGAGTCTGGGTCTCAAAGGATGAGTAAGAGTTGATAAGTTGTAAGAAGGGGAAAGGGAGCCTGAAAGAAAGGCGTAGGGCTACAGAGGCACGATCAGTCTGAGGAAGTGTGAGCAACAGGGCATGACAGGAGTAGAGAATGTTTGAAAGGATATATGAGGGAAGAGAGAACAGAAAGGTTCTGTATTATGAACAGATGCAAGGAAAAAAAGCCCCACATGTACTAGCCTAGACCAAAAAAGTGATTTGGGGCTCATGTAACCCTTTGAGACAAGTCATGATGTAGATAACTCCCGTGTTACATCTATTACTAGGATGACTACATGATTTACTGTCCAAACCCAGGACGCTTATGAAAACGAAAGGGAATGCTACTATTAATTGCTCTGGTACAACAGATGTCAATCAGTCTGTTCTGGGCAAACTAAAAGGTATAGTCCATCCACCTACATCCAACGTTGTCATAAAACCTGGCACTTGGTGCTTTTGTGTATCTCATTCATATCTCTCAGCCCTTGGAGATGATCTTGTTATCCCCATTTTTAAGATGAGGAGATGGAGCCTCAGAGAGAAGAGACTTGTGGTCACACAAGTGAGAAGGCAGCAAAGCTGGCTTGGGAAATCAGGTCATAGCAGATTCCAAACCCTGGACGCTTTTGACTCTAGAGTTTGGTATGTACCACCACACCTGCCCACCCCCACAATGTCACAGAGTCTTACTGTCTAGGTGACTCATGTCTCGTTCCCCCAGGTGAAGGAGGATGGTAGAAATACAGTCTTATCTTGTGCACTGGCCTCCCCCCAGCAGCTGGTGTAGAGAAGGCCTCAGGACACGTTTGTTGGATAGATGACTTCTTGAGAATAGAGGTGTGTGTTTCATCTTAAAATCTGAGCCTTTTTCCCACCCCTAGAACCTAGCATAGGACTTGCTATGCATCTATTCATTCAGTTAACACTTAAACATCTCCTGTATGCCTGGTGCTATGCTGGTGATACTGCAATGAGCAAAATAGACAAGGTTCTGTTCTCATGGAATTTACAGTCTAGTGGGAAAAATCGTACAAAAACAAGCACAAATAAACATAGTTACAAATCAAGATAAATGCCAAGGAAAAATACTGGGTACCCAGTTTTAAAAAATATTTTGGAGGTAAATTTAATAGGCTTTTGTCGTAGATTTAATGGGGGACAGCGAGATGGAGATGGCTTTTGGGCTTCTGCCTGAAATAGAGATGGAGACAAAAAGAAGGAGCAGTTTGGGGAGATAAAAAGATAAGTTTGGATGTGTGGGGCTGGAAGTGTGTGGGATTTCTGTTTTAATCCTCCCTACCTCTAGCCAAGTTAACTGATTTGCCCCAAACTGCAAAATTGTGGCAAGTAACAGAAACCTGCTTCAGCCAGCCCAAACAAAGCTGTCCTTCAGGCAGCACGGTAGTTAAGACGGGCAGGTGGGGAGAAGGCGGGAGAGAAGCAGCGAAGGGATGTGTTCACGGATACAATAATTAGACTGCCCAAGTTGCAGTGAAGACCGCGGCGAGCAGCTAGGCTGCGTTACACCCTGTGGAGAGAGCAGGATCCCCACCCCACCTCCCTCCTCTCTAAACTGGCGCACCCATGGGCGCCCGAACGAGGAAAGGGGGCTGTTCCATGTCTGGAAACCCAAGCAGCCCTCGCTGACTCGGTTGCAGGACCCACCAATCGGGCTGTGCCTGGTGGCAATGCCACGTGATCGGGGCCTCCCCCCTCTCCTCCCTCCCCGCCTTCCAGGGAAGACGGGCATCCCCGCCATCCCGCCACCGCTCGCCATCCCGCCCCCGCCCTCGCGTGCCGCAGCGGCGCGGGAGTGAGCCAGCGGCTGGGATTCCGCCGCAGTCCGCTGCGGCGTGGGGGAGGGGAGGGAAGGGGAGGCTAGCGAGCTGCATCCGCAGCGCACGAAATGTTTTCCCTCAAGGTCAAGCAAACCCACTCCCCGGCAAGGCTGCCTCCAGAATCCCTCCTTTGCTGTCCTCTACCCATTCTTGCCGCCGCTGCCACGCAGTCCGGCCGCAGCATCCCTGGCTCTCCTGGACCACTGTCCCAGCCTCTGACTAGGTGGGGGACGAGAGGGTTTCAATGTATCCCTCCCCGTGAGCTTCTCAGCCACTTTTCTCTTGGGACACACCTCTTGCTGTGTCGCTTTACTTTAAACCCCACACTGGCTCCCAATAGCTCATAAGAGATCATTAAGGCACTTCATAACCAAGCCCCAGCTTAATCCTTTCCAGCCCCTCTTCCCCCTTGCAATAGAGTCCCTCTGGACCACTTTCCCTGCCAGGAACAGCCATCACTTGCGTACTTAAGCGACTACTCTTGCTGTACTTTCTGCTTAGGGTGCCCTTTGTGAAGCTAGCACATTCATAGACCCAACTTTATTATAATAATACAATGGGTCCGGGGTGGTGGGGTGGTGGATGGAAACATGCTGAAATGCCTCTTAGCAAAGGTCACAAAGTTCAAAGACTACAGCTGACAAGCAGGAGAAATAAGTAAGACCACTGGGCAGGGACCCTGCTCTCCATTGAGGCCAACATGCTCCTTGGGGGCGAATGTGGGTCCTATGATGCCAGAGGTTATGAAATTACAAGAAAGACCACAATTCCAGATTTTTATATGTAATAGCTCACTTTTAAAATACTGATTTGATTTTTTAAAACATTCTGTGGACCACATGCAGCTCAAGGACCCTCAGTGCGTGACCTCCTCTCTTTAGGAGGAGGATGGCTTTCACTGGTAAAATACTCTGCAAAACCGTTTATGGTGAAGGTATGATCTCAAAGCTCCCAGAGGCAATAAAGACGAGGACTTCGATTTGAATGTGTTCCTAAAATGACTCTGGATGTTTTAAGCTACCGAGGACTCGGATAATCTACCAGAAACTGGAGGACTGGGTTCAGGACATGGGCAGGAATCAAGGAGGGGGATGTGCAGAGGGGAGGCAGCAGGAAGCCAGCCAGGGTCACCCACCCACCAGCATCAGCCGCTATGAATGATGGCAGACACTTCCATCCTCACTGGGGCTACACGAAGTCCAGAGAGGAGTCCCTGTACCCTGTAGTGCTTGAACTTGCAGGGGGTGAGGGTGAGGGGATGACCAGGAGACAGGAGGGGAAGCCAACCCCTCAACCTCTGAGGCGTCACACAGTGGGATAATCCCTGAAAGGGAAATTGGAGAGTTCCTTAGGAAGAGAGAGTGGAGACAAGAGCCAAATAGCAGGTATCCATTACTAGGAAACAGGAGGTGGCCCACAGCTGAGGGGCCAGGGACAGTGTAGAGGCTAAGGCTGTCTTAGGAGCCAGGGTATTTTTAGTTTACCCTGAGGTCTTTTGTAGCTGCAATGAGATCTCATCTATCTCCCATCCCTGGAAATCTTAAAAAAAGTCTCCTGTACTCACCGAGTGATGGGTGTTTGTGAAAATGGCTGAGGGGGCCAAGTTTTACCTCTGTTTTGGTATCGTGCTGATCAAAGACAGTCCAGGCTGACTCAGGAGCTGGACCAGGAGCAATAAAATCTCTCAGGAATTTGCAGTAATCTTGGAGAGGGTTTTGGAATGGCTGCTGGGGCTCATCCCATGATCTTAAGGGGTCAGGAGGTCCCTGGCTGACATCCAGGTAATAGTAAGAAGAATCAGCTATAATTTATTAACTGTTTACTTGTGCCAGATGCCATGCACATATATACATTATTGCTCTTATCCCCACAGTGACTGTATGAGAGTGATACTCTTATCATAATCCCCATTATATTAATGAAAAAATTAAAGCCTGGAGAGGTGAAGTGAGTTGCCCAAAGCCACAGAGATAAATAGTGGAGTGGACCTGCTCTCCAGCTGATTACCCCTGGCAGAAGAAATTATCATCTTATCTGGAGTCTTCCTGGACAGCACTTACCATGCAGAGTTATAAGTATTGTTTTAACTTGCCTGTTTGTCCTTCCTACTCATGTATAAGGGGACAGGAGCTGAGGACATGTTAAATCAATTCGTTTAAGGGAGACCAAAAGCAGCACCCTTGTTTCAGCTCTTTGTGCCCTTGGGCAAGTCATTCGCCCTCAGTTTTCTGTCTGTGGACGGGTAATTACAATACAGACCTCACAGAATTATTGTGAGATTTAAATGAGACCAGGTCTTGGAATTTCTGTAAATTGCCAGCTGTTGTTGCTGCTGCTATGAAGATGATGATGATGATGACGACTGAGAAAGGAGGACGGAAGGAAACAAGGATCCAGATATTCCAGAACTGTATCAGTTCAAACAGGGAATTCTCAGGAGGTCCAATCAGTGTGCAGAGTTTCCCAGACTACTGTGTCTTCATTCATTCCTCATTTTGGAACACCTACTATGTGCCACTGCTTGAGCTCATTTCATTCGAAACTCTGCAGAACAGATACTCAAATTATCCTCATTTTACCAGTGGAAAAAATGAGGTTAAAGATATGATATGACTTCCCCCGGGGGAACACAGCCACAAAATGGCAGAGGCAGGATTTGAATTCAGATCTGTGTGGTTCTAAAATCCTTGTTCTTTCTGCTTTCGATTCCACAGCTCCTTCAGTCTTCTCTTCAATCACCAGAATATTTATCAAGCATCAACTAAGTGCTGAGCCTTCTGCAGGGGCAGGGGAAACAAGGCCCAAACTGTCTGAAAGCCATGTCCAGGTCAAGCTGGGGAGGAAGACAACCCAATGGACATTTACAATTCAGCATGGTAAGCTCTGTGCTGGGTGAAGTGCATATGAGAGAAGAGTGTGTCATTGCCTTAGACTTGTCTTTCTCCTTGGTCTTCAGACCCCAAGGCACATCTCAAACGGGCCAAGTGGTTCCCTACAAGCCCCCTTACCCTAAAGTGACAAAATGACACACCCTCACCCCTCCTCTCTGGGGGTGAAGGGGGTGTTGCTGTGGGGACCAAACAATAACCAACAATCCTTTTCAAAAGAAATCCCTCCAAACAGCCTCTCCTCTCTTTTCATCTCTGTCTCTACCTCTGTCTCTGTCTTTCTCTCAAATACACACACACACACACACACACACATGCTCCAAAATGAGCAGACCAGAGGTGGGTGATGGGGTAATGGCTGTAGAACCGGTTTTTCCATCTTTGGGCATGCCCTGCCTGGGTGGTCCATGACCCATGGTCCATGACTTTTGTTACCTCTGCCAAAATGACAGGAAACTTGCGTCTAACATCCTGTTACACATTCATTAAAAAGAAATCAGGAAGAAAATTCACCCAATCAATAGCAATTATCCCTGGGTGGTGAAGTTATGTGTAGTCTCTATTTTCTTCTTTTTACTTATTTGATTAATTTTTTTCTATCATGAATTTGTTATTTTGTAATCAGTAAAATTATTTTAACAATTATTTGTGGCCTCACAAGGTCTATTAGTAGCAACCTCAGAAGGAGATTTGTCCTGAGCACAGCAGGGACTGGGCAGGACAGCACATGGGAGAGGTGAGGAAGTGAGAGGTCATCGAGGATTAAAAACAAGAGCCACCATTTCTGAGGGCTTGCTCTGAGCCTAGGTCCTTCCTAGCCTTAGCGTACATTTCTCAGTTAACCCTCAAGACCATTTTAGAAGATAAGCTATTATTTCACAGCTGAGGAAACCCAAGGGTCAATTTTATAGAAAAAGAAACCGAGACTCAGAGAGGTTCCATTATATGCCTAGGAACACACAGCTAGAAAGTGATGGAGGCAGGATTTGAATCCAGATCTGGGTATTTTTTAACTTCTAGACTTAGCAGCCATTCCAAGTCCTCCTGGTTGCATGTTGCTTACGTATTCCTAGCTCTTCACATACGCTCATGGATACTAATACAATACAGAGGAGCAGATGAGGTGAAGATCATTGTCCCATTTTCCAAATGAGAAAATTAAGACCCGACAGGGGACTTGCTCAGTGTAGAGCTGAGAAGTGGTAGCACTCCTTCTAGAATCCTCTTTTCTTCCCTCAGGCAGCCTTCCTCCTTCCGCTACCTTCTGCCAACTGCAGGGGCTTCCTTCTTGAAATAAATGACTCAAGGTAAATTGCTGACTGGACTTCCCCTTTCTCAAAACACAGGAAGTCTGTGTTGTTTGCAATTGTGAGAGAACAATTTCAGGTCACTTACCATGTAGGCGGGGCTGCTAGAGGATTGGTTCCTGCTAAGGGCAGTGGTTCCTGCTAGGGGCAGGGCTTCCTGCAACTTGGGCTGTCCTGAAACACTTGTATTCCCTTTCTGAGGGTCCTGTCAGTGTGTCAGCCCAGGCTTGAGAGCTGACTGAACTATTATGGAATTTAGAAAAAAGAGCCCAGGAGGAGAGAAAGGGGGGGCCCTCAATAATAATAATAATAATAGTAATAATAGGGGGGAGGGTATAGCTTGAGTGATAGTAGCGTGCACGAGGTCCTGGGTTCAATCCTCAGTACTTACTTTTAAAAAAACACAATAAGTAAAGCTAATTAACCCCTAATAGCAATAATAATGATGATGATGATAGCCAATGTTTATGGTACATTAACTTTTGTAGCAGTTACTGTGCTAAGTGGCTAACACACGTGAACTTATTCGAGCCTCATAACAGCCCTAGGAAGAAGATTTTATAGCTTTGGGGCCACATCAAATTGAATTCTAATCACAGCCATGCTGCTTCCCGGGTATGTCATCAGGGATGTTATTTACATTCATTCAACAAGTACTTTTGAGCACTGACTATGTGCCATACTTTGGCCAGTGAACAGAACAAGGATCCCTGCTCTCATGGTGCTTACATCCTACGAGGGAAAGCAGACAACCGGTAAACATAATAAGTAAGTTATATCGGAAGGTGATAAGGGCTAAGCAGGGTAAGGAGGACAGGGAGTGCTGATGGGGTGGAGGAGGAGAGAGATGCAATGTGAAATAGTGGTGTCAGGGACGTGAGCCTGCAGAGCATCCCTGGTGCCTGCTGCCCTGTCTGTGCTATGTGCTTGCCTCCTGGGGATGTTGTTTTTTGCTGTATAGCTTCCTGGCCTGATTCTCTGGTCCTTTTCTGCTAAATGACCTAGAGTGGGCTCATTTATAATTGAGAAGGGTAACTGATACAGATTTCAACACTGAGTACCCACTTCTATGCCTTGTCCTATACATTCATTATTTCATTTGCTCCTTATCCAGACCTGAGAGGTAGATATGATGAACCCCATTTTACAGATGAAGGAACCAACTCAGAGAGGTGGTGTGACTTGTCTAAGGTCTCATAGTCAGTGAGTGGCAGAGCCAGGGTTCAGGCCTTGGTGTGACTCCAGATTGCTCCTTTAAGGTGCCTCCCAGTGGTGATGAAAAAGCCCTGGCAGTATTTTCCCCTCCAGCACTTGCTGCTGTGTGTGCTGACAACTCATACAGCTCAGCTCTGCCTAGAGAGAAGGAATCACGGGAGTCTGTCCGTAAGCTGGAAAGAGAGACAGGTCTGGGCTACCCGGGAGGACCTTCAGGACGCAGAGGGGAACTGACTGCCTTGTCTGGGTCAGTGTTTCAACGCGAGAAGCTGTCCTCTCTACTGCCCTGTAAAACAGAGACATCTCTTTGAGGTCTTAGCCCAATTGTCACTGGGTGGCCTGATTCCCATGGAAATGTGGAAATAGAAAACATCTGGGACTAGAGTTGCCAGGCAACAACCAGCTACTCACTCACTTGGCAGAGTCAAGGAGGCTGCCTGATGCTGTCAGAGATTCTTGGATAGGAGACCTGGAGACTTCAGTTCTGCTTCTGATTTGCTGTGTGATCTTGGGTAAGTCCCTGCCCCTTTCTAGGACTCAGTTTCCCATTCCTTGTATAAAGAGCAGTCAGACTATCTAAGCTGCAATATACATAGATACCAGATGGTCAGAATTAAAGAAGGGCAGGGCCAGAAGCCCAGGGACTGGTCATAGGTGAGGGAAGACTCAGTCTTTCTCCTGTCCATCCTGACCAGCCTGTCCTGGCCCTGGTTACCAGCTGAGGGCGAGACCATTTCCTTTCGCGCCCTGAGCTAATTCGGGCCACCCAGACTCCACCCCAGGCCCTCTCCTGCGGCTCAGTCTGGGAATCATCTTTGTACTCACAAGTTAGTGCAGCCACCGCCTACCCGTCAGAACTTTCCCCGTGGGGAGTTTCCTCAGTTCCTGCCAAATGCAGCTACCCAGTTCTGGGTGTTTCCCTGAACACCCATTAGAGGACCTTCTGACGCTGTTTGCCAGATTGCGCTGATGGTAAACCCTGAGGGTGGTGCGTTTTGTAGTTATCAGCAGAGTTAAACTCGTTCCATTTCGCAACCATAACAAAAAAAAGACCGCAGCTGCAACGGCAACAAATGCTTTATGTCCCTGATCTCATTTAATCCTCGTATGATCTAGAGGGATGGAAACAAAGGCCCCTGTTTTACAGATGAGGAAATGGAGCCTCAGGGAGGTGAAATGACTTGCCCCAGGTCCCAGTAAGTGGTGGAGTCGGGACTCCCACTCAGAGCTGGTGTCACAGCTGGGGATTTCAAACCACACATAGGGCGCTATTTCTTCACAGTCCTGGAGGGACTCTGTCAGAGCTAGAAGAGCTCAACCCACTTTACAGATGGGCAAATCAAGGCCCAGAGAGAAATGACTGGCTCTCTGGGTCACACAGCAAGTCAAAGACACCACAGATTCTAGGACCACTCCCTGCAGAGCCTCGTCACATGATTCCAGAACACAAAAAGTGCCCCAGGCATGAACAACAAATCCCAGGTCTTCAGAAATCCCCAGCAATTCCTAGGAAGTGGAACAGTGCCTTCACAGACAAGGAGCTCCTGAAGGTCTCAGGCTTAGGGCAGAGAGTCCCAGGGTTCCTTTTGCCAGCAAGGGGGCTGTGGGTGTCACTTTCTTGGGTCTGCAGAGGAGGCTTCAACTCTGGCCACTTGCTGAGGTGGTTGGTGTGCCCAGAATATTCTCCTGGTCAGTTGGTCAGTCGTCTTGCTTGGTTAATGCTCACCTGTCCACCTGTCCTGCAGGTATCTATTTAATGTCACTTCCTCTAGGAAGGCTTCTGTGGGATCCTATGTTCCCCCAGCCATAGATTCTCATGAGTCCAGCTTTTTTCCATAGTCGTACTGACTGCAGTTTGCCCTATGGATTCCTATCCAAGGCACATTTAAATAGCACCAATTTATCCTCCAACCACTGACCTCCAAAGATACAACTCCAGAATTTGTATTATCTTTACAAAAACAAACTAATCTTTTAACATGCACTAAGATGGTAGATGTTTAATGTAAAAGCAGATTGGAATCACCCTGCAGCTGCCAGGAGCCCTCCCAAATTCTCTGCCCAACCTCAGTTCACCCCTAGAGATGGGATATTTTACTTAAAGACAGAGCGGCTTCAATGTGCAGATACCTCAGGACAGCCTTTCCTTTAGTTACTCCCTTCAGCCTAATCCTCAGACCTAAGAGTGCAAAAGAATTATTATGCATTATAGGTAATGTTAGTGCTTTCCAATGTAATTCTGCATGATATACCCTTTCCACCTAAGTGCTGACTTTAGAACTGAATCTCCTTCAGAAACACCCTCTCTGTAATTATGAATGTGAAAGAAACCAGAATTTGTCTATGTGGGTCTAGGTGGCTACAGGTACGCTTACTCTTTGAGGCTCAAAGCCACTGAGGCACCTGTATGCACCTGCTCCCTGGCATGCACAAGGCAGAAGCAGTGTGAATGTGAATGTAGATACG